AGTGAGTTACAGGTCAGCTGGAGCTACAGAGAGACCTTGTCTCAAAAAAGAACAACAGAGTAGCTCGTGTGTATGAGTGTTTTGCTTGCATGTATGTAAGTGTATCCATGTCATGCAATGCCCAGAAGTCAGAAAAGGGCATCAGGTCCCCTGGAACTGGAGTTACAGAAGGTTGTTAGCCACCATGTGGGTGCTAAGAATCAAACCTAGGTCTTCTGCAAGAGCAGCCAGTGCTCTGCTTTTAACCATTGAGCCATCTCTCAAGTCCCTATTTCTTAGATAACAGATTCTGATATTTTTTAGATGAAATATCACTGTGAACATATACCATGATCATTTTAATCATATCCTGAAGTACTTTATCAATGCAAGATCCCATCTTATTATATCTTCATTACATAATTCAGATATATAGGTTTAGAATGCCAAGTAACTTATGATGGTTATTTTTTGTTCTCTTGCAGGTGGTTTTTGAAAATGATGGTTTATCTTTCAATAATCAGTGTTTTCTAGTAGGAAATTAAAATTTTTGACAATTTGCATTTGGAACCTTTCAACCCTTAACTGCAGTCTGGTCAGAAGAGGTAAATACTGTACTGATATGCTTTGATTTACTGCAGAGATCAAGTAATAAGTATACATATAAAATCGTATGTAGTATCTGCACTGTTCCTTGTGCCAGAACTTTATCTTCACACCTACTTTATAAGGCTTTAAAGAGATTAATATTTCCATCTCAATTGCCAGCCAGGGGCAGATACAGAATTCAAATCCAGTTTGGACTGACTACCAAGTTAGAAAGGCTGAGTTCTGCAGGGTGTGGTGGCGTACGCCTTTAGTCCCAGAACTCTTGAAGCAGAGGCAGGTGATCTCTGTGAGTTCTAGGCCAGCCTGATCTACATAGCGAGTTCCAGGCCAGCTGGGGCTACAGGGAGACCCTGTCTCAAAAAAAGGAAAAAGGGCTGAGTTGAAGTTTCATCTCCTATACAGAAAATATAAAAATATAAACTGTTTGGAAGGATCTTGAGGGAAAAAAAGGACTTTGCTATTTCTAGGTAATGAGCTTATAGTAGGCTTTTAAACTTTCCTTTTCTAACCCCTTTATGTATTATCTGAATTTCTTACAATGAGCAAGAATGTTGCCTTTTCCCTCAAAGAAGAAAACTGAGTTCTAAGAAAACTAACACCAGTGCTAAAAAGCACCCAAAATCCAACTCTCTGCTTAAGTTCTTAGGCCCCAAAAATAGTGTTCCCAAGTTCAGTGGGAAAAGATACTAGACTGAGGATAGAGGGAGGACCCTTAAGGAAGGAAAACAAGACAGAACACAGGCAGTGTTTCCCAAGAAGCCACACAGTAGGTACCATAATGGATCATCTTTCTCCTAAGGCTCAACCTACTTTGTATCTTTTGACCGAAAGACCCTCACTATGAATATGTCTTAAGGAAGACCTATGTGTAAGAACTCACTCATGGCAGTATTATCTACAATAAGGAAAAACTGGAAATAGGACTTAAATTTGGACTTTTTCAGCTAAAAATAAATTATAAAAATCAGAGAGAAACATGAGAATTTTTTATTATGGAAAATAGCAATAGAAGATAAATACGGACATAATATCACAATGTTTCTATTTTTAGTTATCATTGGGTATGTGCATATGCATGTTCATGTGTGTGAGTGCAAATGTATATGAGGGTATGTACATGCAGGTAGACTGGAGGACAACCTTGGGTGTTGTTCCTCAGGTGTTGTCTATATTTTTTTATTGTTTTTATTTTACATGTATGAGTGTATTGCCTGCACCTGTGTCATGCAATGCCCATGGAGGTCAAGAGGGTGTTGGATCTCCTGGGTCTGGAGTTATGGATGGTTGTTAGCTACCATGTGGGTGCTGGGAATTGAACCTGGGTCCTGCAAGAGCGGTCAGTGCTCTTAACCACTGAACCGTATCTCCAACCCCATTGTCTATATTTAAATTTTTTTATTTATTTTTATTTTAAGTTTTTGAGTCTTCTGCTGCATGCATATGTAAGTACACCCATGTCGTGTCAATGCCCACAGAGATCAGAAGAGGGTGTCAAATCCCTGGAACTGGAGTTATGGATGGGTGTTAGCTGCCATGTGGATGCTGGGAACTAAATCCAGGTCCTCTATAAGAGCAGCGAGTACTCTTAAGCACTGAGCCATCTCTCTAGCCCTACATGTTTTATTTTCTAAGACAATGTCTTTCATTGGCCTGGAACTTGCCAACTAGGCTAGCCTGGCTGGCCAGTGAACCACAAGGATCCATATAGCTCTGTTTCCCAGCACTGGGACTGTAAGCATGGACCACCCTATCAAGCTTTTTGGACTGGGTTCTAGAGACTGAACTCAGGCCATCGTGTCTGCAAGGCAAGTACTTTACTAAGCTGTCTCTCTAGCCTGATTTTTTTAGTTACCTTTTTATTCTTACAATTTTCTTTATTTATTGAAGCTAAAAATAACTTAAAACATTTTCCTTTTATTGCTATCTGTTAATTTTGAGATAAGGTATCAGTATTTGGCCTGGAACTTGCTATGTATGTAGCACAGGCTGGCCCTGAGCTTGCATCAATCCTCTTGCCTCTGCCTCCCAAAGTACTGAAATCATGAACATGTACCATTATGCCCAGTGTCAAAACGTTTTTTTATTTTTTTATTTTTAAAGGCAGGATCCAGGCTGGCCTGGGACTCACTATGTAGATCAAGCTGGCCTCCAACTCAGAGATTCACCTGCTTCTGTCTTCCAAATTAGAGGATTAAAGGGATGCACCACCACTTTCTTTAGTGTGCAAGTGATGTCACTGACCTCAGGGAAGTAGTCCATTTATAGAAAAAAATCACTGTGGCATAGTGATGAAGTGGGAAGCTAAAACCATACTCTGGCTATAAAAAAGAACATACTAAATGCCTTTCCACTTATGAGGTCATAATGTAAATGCAGTGAAGCGGTCTTTAATGGATGAAACCTCAATGCTGGTAAAGTATGCAGAAGTAGCAGGGCCTGCAATTAAAGAAGAACATTCCAAATGGAAAAGATATTTACAGCCATCTATGAGAGGGTGCCCTTTCACTATGCCAGTGTCACTCTTGGTATGTATAAATAGCTTCTGCTTTATCAATATACACTAAAGTCTAGAAAATTATTTTATATAATCTAAAATCCTTTTATAATGTTTACTGAAAAAAGAAAAGAATACAATGGTATGCCCCTATAATCCTGGCACTCAGGAGGATGAAGCAGGAGGAGTACTACAAGTTCTAAGGTTGGCCTGGGCTACATAATGTTTTCTAGGCAGGCCTGGACTACAAGGTGAGACCCCCATCTCAAATAAAAAAGAAAGAAAGAAAAAGAAAAATACAGAGCAAGATAAAAGAGTTATACTACAACAGGAGTTAAATGCTAGAATTAGGAAAGACTAATAGTTATTCATGGCAGAAAAAGAAAATGAATGTAATCTTAAGAGAGTCTAAAAACAAAACAACTTGTGAATACTGTTGTTTTTAACATCATTCACACCTCTAAGTGAAGCATGTTTTAAATTACCAGGTACCCAATCTCTAACTGAAGAAAGAAAGATGTGGTAGGTGGCTAAATATAACAGTGAATAAGTAGGTGTGTTTTTTTCCTTTTTCTGTTACTTAAGGTTTTAAATCTAGGTCTTCTCAAAACCCTTTGCTCTCCATTGCCTGCTGTAACTAACTGCTTCTTTTCATCAGAAAATAAGAAAAACAGCAGAAAATTATGAGCATGACAAGAAAATGATGAAAAGGATTTCTGGAGAGGAAACACGAGTGAGAGGTTCAGTCAGTCACAGCCTATCTAAGGGCCTAGAGGAAGCTAAGGATCAAATTAACCACAATTCCAGAAAGGACAGAATTCATACAAGATGGGCATTCCTGTGGCAAACTCTTTGGTTCAAAGAAAAATTTTTATTTATTCATGTTATGTGTACTTCTTTTATGTGTGTAAGTGCACCCATGCCATAGTGCCCACGGAGGCCAGAAGACACCACAGGATTCCCTGGAACTGGAGTTTTGGATAGTTGTAGATGCTGGGAAGAACACTGTTGGGTTTTTTTTAATTTTTGAAAATTTATTTATCATTTTTATTTTATGTGTATGCATGTATTGCCTGTGTGTAGGTAAGTGCACCCGTGTCATGCAATGACTGCGAAGGACAGAAGAGGCTGTCAGATCGCCTGGAACTGGAGTTACGGACAGTTGTTAGCTGCCATGTGGGTGCTCTTAACTGAAGAGTTGCCTCTCCAATCTGCCAGGTTTTAGATATTTAAGTCTAAACTCAAGCGGAGTGGATATTCCCACACAGGTAATTTGCATTATAATATTTAAATATCATAGGGTCCCTAAAAAGTATAATAATCCATAAAAAAATAATCTATAATTATGAGTTTACATGGGCTCTAAAAATAGGAAGTCCTAATATTGTTGATCTTGAAAAGGTTCTACCTCACACTGGACTCAAAGAATGTACGTTAAGACATTTTCCTTGTGTTTTAGCCTCATATTATGCAGATGGTCACTATGCTAGGAAAGTGATTAGGCTTTAATACAATGGAACATTCTCATAGGAAGTTTTCTGAAGTCATCTTTGGAGACTGGCTGACTAAATGTCAGACTTCCTTGAGGTATATATACCTGGACTGAAATGAACACACAGATTCAGCTGAGGAATCCAAATGTACAAAGCTCAGAAAATTTGGCTTCTGTTCTCATGCTGTAACCATGACCTCAGCTACCCAACACATGCTTTTTCCAAACTGGTTAGTGTAATCAACCATGATTATTGTAGGTAGCTGAACCCAGGTTAAAAAAGAAAATAAACTTTAAATACATTCCACAATGCTTTACAGAAGCAAAACAAACAAAAACCAAACAAAAACAAGAAATCATAATTACTAAAAAGCCAATTTTTGCTTAAAACACCAAGCAAGGAATGGACATATGAATATTCCTAACCTGCAAAATGATTCCTCCACATTATATCAGCGAAACTCATTGGTGGGCCACTGGGAGGGTAGGGTTTACCTTTCAGAGGCTCATGATCAGTCCTTATCATATCCATTAAGGAGTTCTCCAGGGAGTGCAAGTTAAAAGTGTCATAGGGCCTACTCCGGTCCTAAAAACAAAGCACAGAAGACAATACAAAATTACTTCATAAAATTAACATGGTATTACGCTTTGCTTCCTATTGTGGACTGGGGACACGAATGAAAGTTATGAAAGTTCCAATAACACAATCACCTGTTTTTGTAAGAATGACTAGGCACCATTAAATTTAAGTATCTATAATTAAATTGCACTTTTCCTCAATATTCTATAATGTAAATGCTCCATTCCTTCAGACTGACTTTCAAATGAACTGATAAATACAAAGGGTCAAGTGAATTGTCTTTGCTTTTTACCCTCCTCTCTCTGCTTCCATCAAATAGCTTCCCTACATTCCTAGAAACCACAGTTAAGGACTTAGTCTATAAACAGAATCACTTCTCTTAAAAAATCAAGTTTATGGTCTAAGGAAATTGTGGCATGAGGATCACCACCTTGATCACATAGAAATTTCTTGGCAAGTCTGGGCTACATAAAGAGGTCTCTCTCTATCTCAAAACACCAAAACACAAACAAAACTGTAATAGTAATTTCAATGTGATTGTAATGAGTGACTTTAACATCTATGACCAATAAGTTCAATACATTTGATTTTTGGGGGGATATTTTTATTTTTAAAAAATGTGGAAAGAAGCCGGGCATGGCAGTACACCCCTTTATTCCCAAGCACTCTGGAGGCAGAGGCAGGAGGATCTCTGTGAGTTCAAGGCCAGCCTGGTTTACATAGTGAGTTACAGGCCAGCTTGGGCTAAAAGACAAAACCTGTCTCATTAAAACCAAAAAAAAAAAAAAAAATGTGGAGAGAAAAAACTAAGCTTAAGACAACTGGTTTAAGAAAGGCTGGAGAGAGCACTGGCAAGATGGCTCAACAGTTAAAGTGCTTGCCACACAAGCCTAATGGCCTGAGTTCAATCCTCGGAAACCACATGGTAGATGGAAAGAACCGACTCCCACAAGTTGGCCTCTGAATTCCACACTGATGCTGTGGTGAGTGTGTGAATACTACACACACACAATAAATGTAATATAAAACTTAAAACCAAAAATAAGGAAGCATGGTGATGAGGAAGAAAAAGGACAACCTTTTCTGGCACTGTCAGTTGCAAAATGAGTATCTAATGGCCTGCTATGGTATCTGTGCTTCTAACTAGACTTGAAACTCTCTAGAGTAGGCTGACAAGAATGAACAGTAAGAAAAAGCTGTTTAAACTGTCTGATAGTGTGGTGATGTATGCCTGTAATCCCAGCAATTAGATGGCGGAGGCAGGAGAATGCAGAGCTCAATGCAGACTGGGTTACACAGCAAGACCCCACCATCCTCATTTCCCCTCAAAAGAAAAGATTATCTGATGGTATTAAAGAACATTTCCATGTTTTTAACTTAATCCCTAATATAATCTTTGAATGTGGACAACAATGTAACCATTTTACACACAAAGAAAGAGAGATTAGAAAAGATTAGAATTCAGATCTAAACTCAAAACCAATAAATACCTTACGGAGTATAAAAATCTGTCCGGGAACTGAAGAATTGGCTTAGTTGTTAAGGACACTGGCTGCTCTTGCAGAGGACCTGGATTCGATTCCCAGCACCCACATGGCGGCTCACAACCAGTTCCAGGGGAATCTGACACACTCTTCTGACCTCCTGGGGAGGGGGCATTGTACAACATGGATGCACTTGCATACATATAGGCAATACTCTCATATACATAAAATAAAAATGATAAATAAAATAAAATATGCCTTTAATCCCACTACTCAGGAGGCTGAGGTAGGCCGTCTCTATGAGTTCAAGGCCAGCCTGCTCTACATAGTGAGTTCCAGGCCAGCTGGGGCTCAGGGATACCCTGTCTCAAACAGACCAAAGGAAAAAAAAATCTGTCCAAAGAAGTTGACGCAATCCATATGGGGTAGTAAACAAAGACTCCTATAAAGCATAATACTGCATCTAATTACTGATGAAATGACCTTCCTGGCAAGGTGGTACTGAGTTCCTATTCCAAGAGGATGAGAAGTGAGATGACTATCAGGAAAATAAGGACAGAATTCAGGAGGGCATTTCATGTACCTAAACTGTCAAATTATCAAAATCACATATAGTGATAGTTAAAATACAAGTTCTTGGGCTTGAGAGATAGCTTAGTTGTAAATGGACCTCAATCCATGTAAAAATGGCAGGCATGTAGCACAGGTTGGAGAGACAAAGACAGAAGGATCCTTAGGGTGCACTGGCCCCCCAGTCTGGTATACTCAGAGAGCTCTAGGTCAATGAGAGCTCAAAAAATAAAAAAATAAAAAAAAAAGAGGGCAGCTCCCAAGGAATGAAGTCCAAAGTTGACCTCTAGACTCTAGTGTTCCAGCACACACACACACACACACACACACACACACACAGTTCCTGGACTCCAGTTCAAATCCAATCAATAACTTTTTAAAAGGGCCAGCGAGATGGCTCAGTGGTAAATAAAGGTGCATGCTGCCAAACCTGATGACCTGAGGTCAATCCTTGGGACCCATATGATGGAAGGAAGAGAATTAACTCCTGCAAATTGCCCTCTGCCCTATGGCACATGTATGTGCAAGCATACACATACACATACACACACACATACACACACACATACCCCACAAATAAATAAATGTAAGAAATAAGTGTTCCGAATGACTCTTGTGACTGACTGACAACCAAACTGGGTAACTCTTCATATTGTCTTTACATCCACGGCTAATAGCGCAGCCCATAGATTGCTTGCCTAGAATACATGATGCCCGGGGTTTGATCTCCAGCACCACATAACCCAGGTATGGTGAAAAACGCGTGTAATCCCACCATTCAGGAGACAGAGGCATGAGAAGCAGTTCATTATCTTTGACTATAGAGGGAGTTTCAAGATTAGCCTGGAATACATAAAACCGTTGTCTTTAAAAAAAGACTTTGCACCATGACTCTGTTCAGTAATTTTGGCATTAAAGGGAAGGGAGGAACTAAAAGAAAACAGCTACAATCAACAAGCCCAACTACTTAGCAGACGGTCAGCTTTGTAATTTTCTTTTTCATTCATTCATTCATTCTTTTTTCTTTTTTTTTTTTTTTGGTCTTTTTGAGACAAGGTCTCCCTGTAGCCCCAGCTGTCCTGGAACTCACTATGTAGACCAGGCTGGCCTTGAACTCACAGAGATCCACCTGTCTCTGCTGGGACTAAAGGTGTGTGTCACCACGCCCAGCCTATTCTTTCTTTTTAAAAATGCATTACCTTATTTTGTGAGTGTGGGGTGTGAGCAGTCATTCATGGCATAGCATGTGTGTGGTGGCTGGAGGAAGTTCTTTCCTTCTACCATGTGGGTTCCAGGGCTCAAACTCAGGGTCACACTGGGGAGAAAGCACCCTTACCCACTGACCCATCTCACTGCCCTCAGCTTTGTAGTTTTCTAACAGCGACTTTCACATCTGGACTCTCCCACTTATCAGCATATCACTTTAAACTAACTTCTAGGTCCTAGTTATCTATTTTATAAAATGGGGATAATTCTCTCTTTAAGGTTATTTTCAGTACTAAATGAAAGAATGGGGGCTGGGGAGATGGTGCTTGTCCCATAAACAAGAGAACCTTAGTTCAGATCACTAACACCCACACAGAAAGCCAGGCATAGTGTACCTTATAACCCCCAGCACTGAGAAGGTTGACACAGGCAGATCCCTGGGGACTTGCTGGCCAGCTGGCCTAGCTCCATCTGTCAGATCCAAGCTCAGTACAAGACTCTATCTCAAAAAGTAAAAAAGGCGTGTTGGGCGTGGTGGCGCACACCTTTAATCCCAGCACTCAGGAGGATCTCTGTGAGTTCAAGGTTAGCCTGGTCTACATAGTCAATTCCAGGCCAGCTGGGACTATAGTAAGACCCTGTCACAAAAAGACAAAAAAAAAAAGAGTGATAGAGGAAGACACCTGACATCAGCCTCCGGCCTCCATGTGCACACTCATGTACACACATACACAGAATGTACAATAGTCGTCTGTATGGTGTTCTTCTCCAACAGAAGAAAGAACACAGAATGTCTTCTATGATACCACATCCAAGCATGGGAACAGATTTAAACATCTAAAAGTTCATGGACACTAACCTAACAGGGTTTAGTAATGCATAACAGATGAAAACATGACATGTGAAAGGCATAACACAACATGAACATGCTTCTCAATTAAACAAACTGCAATCCTCTAAGAGACTTATTTTCCCATTAAAGTTAATTCTGTTCATGCCTCATCAATTTATATTTGCAGCAAACCATTCACCCTCTTGGTCTTAATACACAAGTGGTGATAGGGGAGGTCTCTAGTCTCTGGTCTCAATCCCAGTAGCAGTCTCAGTTTGCTACCAAGAGAGAATTCAGAAGGCACAGGGAGATCGAGCACTCAGGAGTCTAATTAGAACAAGCAAGATGCAAAAATGCACTTCAGGACAAGAGTGGGGTGGGCTGGGCTGAGCTGAGTTGCTGGAGGGGGTCCTGGCAGGCATCAGGCTTACACTTCTCTCTGTGTGTCCTCCTTTCTGCCTCCCTCAGTGTGAGCACTTCCAAGAAAGGAGCATGGGATCCTTAGAAGCCCACTTGATCCAGAATTCAGTCTGCTATGTTGATATATGAAAAGCGAGAATATGTGTAGGGCTTTAAGTGCAACAGTACTCCTGTATGCTCTTGGAGGTAGAGTCTTGCGGTTGCTTTAATATGACCTAATTAGCAGGGATCACTACCATTCACTGTCCCTTATACATCGTTTGCTGGAGCCCTGAGCTGTTCCACCCACTGTTTATCATGTCCTATCTTTGGGGCTTGTTGGTCAGTCCCTCCCAGAGCTACCCTCCTGCCTACAGAATGCTAAAATAACTGATGAACCAGGAAGCCAGCCAGAAACCAAAAAAAAAAAAAAGAGAAAAACTGAAAACTTTGCAATGAAATTCAATGAAAATTTTGCATAGAGAATAAGTCACAATTCAAGGCATATGTATGTG